CTCAATCACAAATACATGCACACACAGATTCACATGCTCAATCAAATATATGCACACGCAAATTCACACACTCAAACACAAATACATGCACACACAAATTCACACGCTCAATAACAAATACAGGCACACAGACTCACATGCTCAAACACAAATACATGCACACTAAATTTACACGCTTAAACACAAATACATGCACACACAAGTTCACACGCTCAAACACAAATACCTGCACACAGCAGTTCACACGCTCAAATAAACACTAGTATATACAGAGATGCACACACTAAGCACACATGTAATTTCTTGCACTACTCATGTGGCCCAATGCACAAGCACACTCATGCGCTTGTTTGCACTTTTCTAACTCGGAAATAAGCATGGAGCATGAAGCTGGTGTTTGTATTACAGCCCAAAGCTGCAATCCGGGACTGGATTAGATTGCTATGCAACTGGACTCTAACAAATACTATAAAACCTGGAGTGGATCTGGGAGTCCGGTGGTCAGTATCACAAGGAAAAGAGTGGATTCAGACTTTCCTTCATGCAAAAGATTATGAGAACTGGGGTTTCATTTTTCATCTCTGACCGATAGTGGCATCAGACCTTGTTCCACAGAGCCCTGTCAGCACAACTTACTGCGAAATGTGAAGTAACTGTCCTGTAATCAAATTAACAAATGAGTGCTTGCAAAACGTGAACCACACACTGGCTGCACAGTCAGGGCCGTGCCACAGATTCAAGAATATCGCACACAGTACAGTGAAAAAAGAGATAGTACTGTCTGCCTATTCAGGGGAAAGGTCCTCACACTTCTGAACACATGTAGCTGGTCCTCAAGGAGAGCAGACCTTTAGAAGACTTCTCTATTCTGCATAATGTTGTGAAAGTACCGTGCAGCCCAGTGAGATCAGGGTAAAAACACAGTACAGTGCAATAAAGCCCAGAGAGATCAGGGTAAAAACACAGTACAGTGCAGTAAAGCCCAATGACATCGGGGTAAAAACACAGTACAGTGCAGTAAAGCCTGGTGAGATCAGGGTAAAAACACAGTACAGTTCATAAAGCTCAGTGAGATCAGGGTAAAAACACAGTACAGCGCAGTAAAGCCCTGTGAGATCAGGGTAAAAGCACAGTACAGCACAGTAAAGCCCTGTGAGATCAGGGTAAAAGCACAGTATAGCGCAGTAAAGCCCAGTGAGATCAGGGTAAAAACACAGTAAAGTCTGAGCACCCTGCTCCCATGAGTTTGCTTCCCCTTCAGTCACACAGATTGCTGTCAACGGGGACTGAGGGGTCAAAGGTCGGACTGACTTCATCGCTCCAGGGAAGGAAATGACCCTTTCGAAACGCAATCAGGGTGCAATCTCTCCCGGTGAGATCAGGGTAAAAACAGTACAGCGCAGTAAAGCCCATTGAGATCAGGGTAAAAACACAGTACAGTGCAATAAAGCCCAATGAGATCTGGGTAAAAACACAGTACAGTGCAGTAAAGACCGGTGAGATCACGGTAAAAACACAGTACAGTCCATAAAGCCCAGTGAGATCAGGGCAAAAGCACAGTACAGCGCAGTAAAGCCCAGTGAGATCAGGGTAAAAACACAGTACAGAGCAGTGAAGCTCAGTGAGATCAGGGTAAAAACACAGTACAGTGCAAAAAAGCCAGGTGAGATTGGAATAAAAACACAATACAGTGCAGTAAAGCCCAGTGAGATCAAGGTAAAAACACAGTACAGTGCAATAAAGCCAAGTGAGATCAGGGTAAAAACACAGTACAGAGCAGTAAAGCCCAGTGAGATCAGGGTAAAAACAGAGTACACTGCAGTAAAGCCCAGTGAGATCTGGGTAAAAACACAGGGCAGCACAGTAAAGCCCAGTGAGATCAGGGTAAAAACACAATACAGCGCAGTAAAGCACTATACTAAAATGTGTCAGAGAAATAGAGAAGGAAAAGCCAGTGACAGATATTGCGATAATGGTAAAACACACAATCGCAGGCAGGTTTGGTCCGGGAGTCTGGTACCAGAGGCCTGTCTGAACCCCCACAGTCCCTCAGGAGACAGCAGTCTGCACCGCTCTGCATTCAGAAACTATTTATTCCTCCAGTCGTTCAGAACACCAAGCATTTCCAATACATTGATACAAGAAATACGTTCCAGCACAAGGTTGATGCTTTCAGCGGCGTCTGGGGTCTCTCCCCCTCCCAGCAGCCCCGCCAGTCTCCCGGGGGTCCCCTGTCCCCGCCCCGCCCCCCCAGCTCAGCACACACACACACACACCGCAGAGCGAACACACAGGAGCCCTGCCTCCTCCGGGATCTCCGAGAATCACCGCGGAGGCACAGTTTCTGTCCAAAATCCCGGGTTCACAGCCGCCCCCCGGAAGCAGGACTTCTTCTGTATAGCGCCTTTCAAGGCAGGTGTCCAGCGTCCCCTTGTCCGACTTCCACAGGCCGGCTTTCCCAGTCCAGGGCGGATTCCCGCTGTTTTCCCGAAAGCATCTGCTAGGAGTACTTCCCGATTCCCAACCCCGGCTCCGGAGGGCGTTCGGGAATCAGCCCACCCCACGCTGTTTTGGTTTTTATTGCCTCAGCAGCTCAGCCCAGGGTGCGAGTGCAGTCCTCTGGTTACTGTCTCCTCTCTCTCTCTGAAGATCGGGTATGTGTGAAATTAGTCCTAAAGATATACTGAACATCCAGAAAGCAGATGTTTAAAATCTATAAAAGATAAACTCTCCTAAAGCAATCTGTGCTGTGTCTCTGATAGCCTGTCTGCCTGTCGGTCTGTCTGTCCGTCTGTCTCTCTGTCCACGTGTCTGTCACTCTGATGGCCTGTCCACGTGTCTGTCTCTCTCGTGGCCTGTCTGCCTGTCTGTCTCTCTGTCCGCATGTCTGTCTCTCTGATGGCCCGTCCACGTGTCTGTCTCTCTGATCCGTCCGTCTGTCTCTCTGTCAGCTTGTCTGTTTCTCTGATGGCCTGCCTGTCTGTCGGTCTCTCTGTCTGTACGTCTGTCTCTCTGTCAGCATGTCTGTCTCTCTGATGACCTGTGTGCCTGTCGGCCTCTCTGTCTGTGTGTCTGTCTCTCTGATGGCCTGTCTGCCTTATTTCTCTGCATGTTTCAATTACTGTACAAAGCGTTGAATATACTACCTACTCAGGACTCTTAACAAAGACCCTACAGCACAAGTGTATCTCGTCCTCCTTTCCCCTCCTCTCCTTCCTCTGTCTCACCCTCCTGTCTCTCACCCTCCTCTCCCGGTGCCTCCTCTCTCCCTCTCTCTCCCTCCCCTCTCTGTGCCTCCTCTCTCCCTCCCTGTGCCTCCTCTCTCTCTCCTCTCTCCCTCTCTCTCTCCTCTCTTCCTCTCTCTCCTTCCCCTCTCTGTGCCTCTTCTCTCTCCTCTCCCCCTCTCTCTCCCTCCCCTCTCTGTGCCTCCTCTCTCCCTCCTCTCTCTGTGCCTTCTCTCTCCCTCCCTGTACCTCCTCTTCTCTCTCCTCTCCCCCTCTCTCTCCCTCCCCTCTCTGTGCCTCCTCTCTCTCCCTCTCTCCCTCCCCTCTCTGTGCCTCCTCTCTCTCCCTCCCCTCCCTGTGCCTCCTCTCTCTCTCCCCTCTGTCTGACTGACTCACACAGAGGAGGTCAGACAGAAAGTCGGGGAGAGCCCGTCGCCCCCCTGCTCGGCCGGCGGGGGAGGAGGCAGGGCGGAGGAGTCAGGCAGGGGGGCCGGCGCCGGCCCCTGGCCGTTCTCCAGGGGGGCGCCGGGGTCGGGACCCAGGAGGGGCTGCGCCTCCCCCCGCGCGGCGCCCTCCTCCCTCAGCTCCACGCTCACGCCCTCCGGCTGGGCGCCGGACGTGGGCCGCGAGCCGGCCCGGTTGAGGAAGGTGCTGAGGGCCCCGGGGTCCCCCGCCTCCTTGTCCCCCTCGGGGCCCTTCCCGCGGCCGGCCTCCGCGTCCTCGTCCCCCGCCGGCCCCCCGTTCTCCTCCTTGTCGGGCATGGGCGCGGCCCAGACGTCCTGGCCGCCCTTGTGCTTCCTGCTCTGGCGCCCCCCGCTGTAGGCGCCCGGGAACGTCGTGGAGCCGCTCCGGCGCCGCTTGCACACGTACACCCCCGCGGCCACGCACCCCACCAGCAGGACGGCCCCCACCAGTACGGCCACAACGATCCAGAGCAAGAGGCTGCTGACGGGGGCAGTGCCGGCGCCGGCGGCCCCCGAGGCGGCGGTGCTGGGAGCGACTTCAGGCGTCGTGGAGCTGACGCGGCTGGTCGTCGTGGCCGCGGTCGTCGTGGCCGCCGTCGTCGTGCTCGCCGTCGTCGTGCTCTCCGTCGAGGCGTCGGCGGTGGTGTCTCCGGGCAGGCCAGCGGGGGGCGCCGCGGTCGTCTCCGGAGAAGTGGGCGGCCCGGAGCTGGTGGGGGAGAAGCCGGCGGTGGAGGTGGTGTCTGCGCCCGCCGTGCTGGTGGTCTCGGGGGTGGTGGGCGGCGAGGTCAGAGCCGTGCTGGTGGTCTCGAGGGTGGTGGGCCACGAGGTCAGGGCGGTGCTGGGGGCCGTTGTGGCTCCGGTGGACGTGGGGGAGGACGGGGGCTCCGTGTCCCCGAGCAGGGCGGCGGTGGGCTTGGTGCTCGTCTCGGGGGGCCCGGCGGTGGAATCGGGGGTGGCGGTCTGCAGCGCGGTGCTGGGCGCCATGGTGGTTAGAATCAGGGGCTCAGCGGTGGTGAGGTGGTGCACCATCAGCGTGGGGTTGGCCGTCTCGGTATCGTTGCCCGGCTCGGCCCGGACGGTGGCCAGGACCAGCGCCAGGACCAGCGCGCGGGCGGCTCTCGCCATGGCGGCCCCCCCTGGGTGTCCGGATCGGTGCCGCGGCTGGGGAGGGCGCTGGTTCCCCCTGTCTCCCCCCTGCGGTGGGGGGTTATGGGATCGGTCTAAGGGTGCTGGCCTTCTCCGGCCCGGCAGCGTGCTCTCCGCACCCTGATGCGCACACGCCCACTTCCTGCCCTCGCCTGCTCACTGCTCCCTCTCTCTGCCTCTCTCTCAAGTCCGACGTGCCCTCTGGGCGTCGCGCTGCTTTGGATAGCTGATATCAGCCTTGAGCCACCACCACCGGCAGGCAACCTGGGCACAGCAGATAACAGCAACGTTTACACGCATGGAACGGAAACTAGCCTGAAAGTAAGCCCCAGGGCTTTCCGAAACGCAGAATCGCCGCCGGCGCCATTTGTGACACCCACGCCACCGGAGCACTGCTGTTGTGATCTAGACTTTTCCTGCATGGTCAAATCACAGTCCGGCGCAGGAAAGCCCAGGGAGATTGTGGTAAAAACACAGTGCAGTGCAATAAAGCCCAGTGAGATCAGGGTCAAATCACAGTCCAGTGCAGTAAAGCCCAGTGAGATCGGGGTAAAAACATAGTGCAGTGCAATAAAGCCCAGGGAGATCAGGGTAAAAACACAGTGCAGTGCAGTAAAGCCCGGTGAGATCAGGGTAAAAACACAGTCCGGTGCAGTAAAGCACAGTGAGATCAGGGCAAGAGCTCAGTCCAGTGCAGTAAAGCCCAGTGAGATC